TGTAGAAAGTTGGGGGTTGCCTCTGGCCCACCCTGCCGAGGTCCGGGATCGAATGGGGACAGGTCCCGACAGCCGCATAATTGAGGAGAACAATAACCACGTTGGGAGGAAGTGGCCGGGAGGTTGACGGGTGTGAGCAATAGCATTCAGATTCAGTGAACGATACTTTCGGCCGCGCTACGGGTAATGATATTTTCATGTCTCCCAACCCCATCCTCCCTACCTGAACATTGTGTTCCTGCATAATGTTGCCACGGAGGCTTCCACAGCAGCTCTAAGTCCCCTTTTCCGCAAATCCGCATGTAACACCAGGTCCCTGTCAGATGGCATGCTGGCACGGGCACTGCTACAGTGGAGGCCCATGGCAAGAAACACCTTGCTTGTCTCCAGGGTGCCCAGGGTTTTCTTGGGTTTCGATAGTTCTGCTATGGAAAGCGTGACGCTCCCACAACAAGAATCACTGGACGTCCTGGGGTCTCAGGGTTGGGTTTCTTGTGGAGGGTTTCTTGTGGTCGGGCCTCTACTGCATTAGACAAAACACAAAACGAAAGCTCCAGTTTAGCGAGTACCACAAGACGGAGGTCGAAAACTTAAATGCCGCGGCATGGAGAAAGTTCTACGTCCTCAAATCAGAGCTTACGGGGAGTAGTTATCCCATGAATAATCGTATTCAATTTGTGCACGGGACGGCTACCCCGAAAATATTATTATATGGGTGCGAAGCGTGGACAGTTATACAGGAATTGGAAAATACATTTCGCTGAACACAAAGACAAATGCTACGAATGAGTATTAGTACCCCACGACGACACACCCGAGATATGCCAGGAGAGCTGCCGCCACACGACACCAATCGGAGCAACCAAGCCAGCAACGCTGAAGACATTGACATTTCTTCTGGAGCGACATTGGAGTAGAAATTTCCATCCCTCCACCCCTCGCCACAACAGAGACGGACGGCCACGTGGATGACGACCTTGGACCTTGGCTGGATTGGATCCAGCGTGCGACGCAGCAGGTTGAGCGAAATATGTCAGCTTGGGGTCGATGACAAGAAACGCAAATGAGCGTGGGCACGAGAAGTTGCTACAATCAGTGCGAATGAATGGGCACGACGGGTGTTACAATGGGAGCCGCAAAACGATGCACACATAGATACGCAACGCCGTGTTGGGAGGCAAGAGACCATGTGGTGGGACGACAGATTATCCTACATCAGACAGTACGTCGAGGGCGCGCCACAAAATGTTGCAGGGTTACTACCACTCGCAGGGACGGACACGTGGGACAGTTTAGAGTCTGGGTATACACAACAGTGAGTGGCCAAGGTTGTGCGGCTAATTGTCCATTGTCGTCGTCGTCTGCCTCCTTATCCCCCTTCCTCCTCCCCCTTCCAGACAATTTGATGTATCGAGTCATGTTGTTGTCGCATTGCTTCACCACTAGAAGCGCCCCGGCGCCACCCTGCAGTGCCCTCGCGGCACCTAGACTGCAGGCCGCCTGTCCGCTAAAAGCACAAAGCGTTCCAGCCTGGAAAACAGATCTATCGCGCCCTGTACCCTCCAGGGACATGCCACGATGCAGCACAGCTATACGGGGACGGGGCGCAGCCGTGAGAGAATGAGGACTTGGGGTTTGTGAGGGGAAGGCGACGGGAGGGAGCAGTGTTTGCGAGCTCGGCTACTCAATCCCGACCCTCTGCGATGGGATTCTCGTTCGTGGTTACGCTGAAAGGTATGTCGATCGCCCTCACCAATTGCACACGATCAGGCAAGGATGCAGCCACTCAGCAGCTACTACCACCAGATGTCTGGAAGCAGGGGGTGCCCCAGCCAGCCCGAGGGCATCACGACGCGACCAGGGCGCGGGGGGGCTTATCGGGGATCCCTTTTACGACCGCCATCTTCCAGGGGTGCTTCACCCAGCCTGTGCGACAATGGAAGTAGGATTGTGTGAGACACATTAGATGGGGGGAGCTTACCTCGGCGACTCCAAAGGGTGAAGGGTGTGGCTTGCAACCCGCAGCCTGGGGGGCCGGCGAACACGCCAACAGAGTTCTCCGCCGCACCCCGACAAGCCGTCGGCGCGAGGAGGTACCCCCCAAGCTCCAACGGCGCAGATCGCAAAAAAAACACCACGCCGTAGCCACACCCGCTGCAGTCGCCAACTGCTGCTTGCAACTCGCCCACTCTTCGCTGCGCAACCCTGCCCAGGCAGTGTGCAGACTTGCTGACGGGCTCCAGGAACATTGCGATAGTTTGAGGTTGCCCACCCGTGCGTCGGATCTTGGCTCGAGGGGCCCGTCTGTGGCGGACGGCCTCTTCGGATGACGGACTCCAGCAGATGCGGTCACGCCAGAGGCGATGGGAAGCGAGAGAACATGGCTGTTCCCCCATCAGCGACGACGCAGGTCAGACAGGCAAGCGTGAGCTCCCTGAGCTTGCTCCAAGAAGCTTGCAGCCAGTGGATGTGCGAGACCAGGCAGGCAGTGAAAGGGGCAGACAGGGAGAAGCGGAGACGAAGAAGTGGGCAGCGTCGTCGCCAACCTGAAGCAAGTAGGGCACCGCGCAGCCGAAGGGGAAGGGATTAGCACGGCAGAGCACCGCAGATTACGAATGGGGCGTTAGCCCCTCCCTTGAGAGAATGGTCCAGAGTGTTCGTTACGTTGGCCCTCCCCTTAATATCAGGCGCAGTCTTTCTGCAGCGAACGTTCCAGCAGAATCAAAGCTATGAAACAGGTGGTCCGAGAGCTCGGTACGTTACGGTTCCGTGCAAGGGAGGGCTTGCAAGTGGAAGCGGTTCCTCATCTTCGTGATGGCTTATGTTCTGCTTCAACGTGGGCCTGGCGTGTTCGAGGCTTTGCGGAATCACGCTTGGGGGATGTCGAGGTTCTTGCCGCGAGTGCCTCAGCGCGGCCCCGATGCGGCCTCAGCGTAGGTGCACGAGCCTCACACCAGCGGCAGCGTGGACATGAAAATCTACAGCAGTAGAAGGAAATCAACTGTACGACGACTAGCATTACTAGGATTCGTGGGTATAATATGTCCCTCCTCTCCCTCACTCCTCTTCCGCCTCCTCGTCATCCGTCATCCTCCTGCTTAGCCTCCTCCTGTCTTTCGCCTGCCACATCATCCTCATCAAAAGATTCCCCCCTCTTGTTCTTACAACTACACATTATGAATACGATTTTCCTCTCTGCCATGAACCCGTCCGGAAGATGGTCGGCCCTCTCCGCGCATTTTGTTTTCCCCGACCATCTTGTGGTGTTGGGTCCTCTTTTTGAAGAGACAGCGCCCCGCGTCACTCACTCCTTCCTCCTCCTCCTCCCTCCTCCCTCCTCCCATCCTTTGCACCACTTACACGCTTCGTGGCCCCATAGGGAGTTCCGCCAAAGGCCCCAGTGGTAGGGTCCGCATGCGGCTCCACCCCCATCTCGGCACACCACTCACACGCTTCGTGGCCCCACAGGGAGCTCCGCCGAAGGCCCCAGTGGCAGGGTCCCCATGCGGCTCCACCCCCAGTGTGACCCTTCACACGTTTCGTGGCCCCATGGGGAGCTCCGCCGAAGGCCACAGTGGCAGGATTCGCATGCGGTTCCATTCCTAATTTCGTCCCACCCCCCACACGCTTCGTGGCCCCATAGTGAGCTCCACCGAAGGCCCTAGTGAAAGAGTTCGCATGCGGTTCCACCTCTAATTCCGGCATGCCCTTCACACACTTCGTGGCCGCATAGGGAGGTTCACCGAAGGCCCCAGAGGCAGGGTTCGCATGCAGTTCCACCCCCAATGTCGGCACACCTCTTACACGTTTCGTGCGCCCATAGGGAACTCCGCCGAGGGCCACAGTGGCAGGGTCCCCATGCAGCTCCACCCCCAATGGCGTCACACTCCTCGCACGTTCCGTGGCCCCATAGGGAGCTCCGCCGAAGTCCCCAGTGGCAGGGTCCGCAAGCGGTTCCATTCCTAATTTCGCCCCACCCTTCACACGTTTCGTGGCCCTATATGGAGCTCCACCTAAGGCCCCAGTGACAGAATTCGCATACGGTTCCACCCCCAATTCCTGCGCATCCTTCACATGTTTCGTGGGCCCATAGGGAACTCCACTTGATTCCCCAGTGGCGGGGTCCCCATGCGGCTCCAACTCCATTTCAGCACACACACACACACACACCACACGCTTCGAGGCCTCATAGGAAGTTATGCCGAAGGCCCCAGTGGCAGGGTTCGCATGCGGTTCCACCTCAATGTCGTCACACCCTTCATTCGTTGCGTGGCCCCGTAAGAAGTTCCACCGAGGTCGATGCTCACAACTGCGGCACTCACAACTGCATATGGTTGGGTCGTTCGCCAGGCTAATGTTACATTGGATTGTCGAGGTTGTTGTTTTCCCACCGTATTGTTTATACTCGGGTTTCTTTCGTTGTTTCAAGATGGTGTTCCCGCTGCAGCGTGGGCCTCAATTTCGGATGGGCGCTGTGCTCCCGTCGTTCACAATGGCGGTCTCGCCCCAGCGCAGGCCACTTTTCTGAATCCGAGTTTGGTTTCATCGTTGTCGCCCCCTCACTTCCCTTCCTCCGCCTTTTCCCTGGTCCTCTTACTCCTCCCGCTCCTTCCAATCCAGTTCCTGTTGCCGCTGCTGCTGCTGCTGCTGCTGCTGCTGCTGCTGCTGCTGCTCGTTTTCGTCTTCTTTCCTCATCCTCCGCTTATCCTGCCATCCGCCGCCTCCCCCTTCCTCCAATGTGCGCAGCTCCCTCTTCTCCGATTGCGCAGAATACGATGGGGTCCTCATTGGACTTCCAGGTCCGCTATGACACGCGTCGGCGGGTAGAGAGAGAGAGATAGCAGCGCAATGGGAAGCGATGGGTGGGAGGGGTAGGACGTCAGACATGGCGCGAGCGCATCTAGCTTGCCTCCTCCCCCCTCTTCCTCGTCCCCTTCCCGTCCGAGTAAAGGCCTGGTGCAGCCACCACGAGTTGCAGCCGCTGAACGTCAGGTTCATGCATGAGGGCGTGGAGATTAAGGCCGACACGACGCCTCAGGAGAACGCCCTTCTCCAGGAGGAGGGAAGACGAGGAAGAGGGGGAAGGAAGTTCGGAAGAAAAGAAGGGGAATAAGGAAGGGTTAGGAGGAGAAAGGGGAGGAGGAGGAGGAAGAGGAGGAGGAGGAGGTGGACGGGGAGGAGAACGAGGAGGAGACCGAGAAGGAGAACAAGGAGGAGGGTGGAGGAGGAGGATGGAGCAGGAAACTTGTAGCAGCTGGCCAGTTTCGGCGACAGCCCTAGCTTTGGATACCGGGGCGTGGTGAGTTCAACACATCCATCGGTGATAGCACCTCCCTTATTCCCCCTCCTCTTTATCACCATTTCTTTCCATCCAGCGCCATATTCTTCCAACGGCCTGCTCCTCTTAACTCGTCTGCTCTGCGAGGTCATCCTGGGACTATTTAACGACCTCCTCGGAGGAAGGGGGAGGAGGGAGGAGGCAGGGAGGGAGGGGGGAGGAGGGTTGGACCTCGAGAAGTGGGGAGGGGGGAGGGAGGAAGAGGAGGAGGAGGAGGAGGAGGAGTTGGGGGGCGGATCGGATCTTGAGGGGGGAGGAGGTGGACGAGGAGGCCAAGCGAATGGTTACCAAAGCTGAAACCACATTGTGCAAAATCGTCGAGCAGTGCGAGGCGTTGGGGCGAAAGGCCTAGGAGGCCCAGTTCGCGGTGGAGAAGGAGGAACAGGCCCTGGACTTGGCCCGCGCCAACTACCACACTGCGGTCAGATGGTTCCACACGAATGTCATTGACGCAGGCGGAATCTCAGGCCAGACATGCCCAGCGAACTTGGACACCGAGAAGATTATGGACGGGGCGGACTTCGACCTCGACGACGGTGACCTTTTTCGGGCCTGGGAACCCCGCCGACATCATCACAAACGAAGACAGGAAGTAGGCGGCACGGGGTAAGAAGCCCTTCCAGACAGTACAAGGCGTCAGTTTCCTTCCTCTTTGGCGACATCAGGTCCAAAGCCAGTGAGCTGGCCGGGGCACACAGCGAGCAGAAGGCCAGGCTGGCGGCCAAGAAGCGGGAGCCTAACAGTGTTGATGAAGATGTTGTGGGGCGGGCGGGGCCCGCCCCCTGCTGCAGCAACAGCGGTGGATCCCCCCCGCAGCCTTGTTGAGGAGGCTTCCGCGAGTGAGGATGCGGCGGCCAAGTCCCTCACCAAACCCAAGGCCCCCGCTGCCGGCGGAGAGAAGGTGCACCGCGCCAAGATGCCGTTGGGTCAGAAGACGACGGCAGGCGGAGCAGGGGCACCAGCGCCCGAGGGAACCGCGGGGTCACAGCCTCAGGCTTAGCAGTGAAAATTGTGAGTGGATTGGGGCGCGCACACCTATTCAGTTTTGGCAGTTACTTCGCCAGGTGCTTCGCATGAGTGGGATTGGCACAGGTACCCACACAACGGCTGGTGGTCTGAGCCCAACGGGTGGAACGATTACTGTCACTACCACGAGGAACCCGCGTACAGTGGGGAGAGTCTGACACCAACCCGAGCGTGGATGCCGAGGCTGGCTTGTCCGTGGGTGCCGCTCCAAACCCTTACTTGCACCACGACATATACATCGATGGCGACCTGCACGCGATGTGCGACGCCCGCTTGATCTGCGGCGGCTCCGCTTTCGGGTACCACCAGTACGAGGGTGGCCACGAGCTCTCGCACTGGAACGGCTCCCATGACTGGTATTTCTGGATCATGACGTCAGCGTTTAGTATGTCGACTGATGCCTAGGAGGGGCCAGCCATCAGGTTTGGAGAGGCCCCGCCCATGGATGGCATGATTGGTCTTCTTCAGGGGAAGAATTCGTCGACTGATGCATGCGATGGAGACAGCCTCTCATATTGGAGAGGCTCCTCCCAAGGATGGCCTGGTCGAGATGTGGAGTGATGCCGGCGGCTCGCCAGATGCAGCATGGCCATGCGCGGCCCGACCTCTGCCCCGATGCGCCAGATGCCAAGCTGAGCTACCGAGAGAGCGACGTCGCCCCCTGGTTGAAGGCACTGCCCACCCCCGCCGCCGCGATCGAAAGTGGGGGGCCAGGGAAGACACCGCCAACACTACCCCGAACACGTGGGCCCCCTTCCAGGACGCGCGCGAGCGGCAGCAGGCCCAAGGGGCCAGGGGGGCACAGCTCCGAGAGGGGCCTAGAGACCCGTCTGGAACATGGCAAGGTCTCGGGCGCCTCCAGGTGGCCCCCGCAG